AAAAGTTGCCCCAGCAAAGGCTAGAAAAGATGAAGATAAATGATGCAAATTTGTGATAATGATCTTTGTTAAGCTCAAGGCATTACAAAGCAATCAAGGGTGTAAAATAAATGTGAAATCTCCTTAATGGCTAGGAGTTATGTCTCTTAATGCTCTTCCATCTTCGCTGCCCATTAATTACTTGGGGAAGCTTTTAAAAGTCCTGATGCCCTGGTTGCACTCCATCTTCCTTCAAGCACAATGTCTGGGCATAGACTCTTGTCAGGCATCAGTATTTTTAAAAGATATTCAGGTGATTCCAAAGTACAGCAGTTTGGAAACCCCTGTAATTGAGTAAGGGGAATAAGAAATATATCATGGAAAGCTGAAATCAATAAGATACTGTGAAAGTAGAAGGTCATTAAGGTCCTAGTCACAACTTAATTTTATTTTTATATGTTTTGGGCATATAGTAGATACTGAAATACTTAATATATTGAATTGAACTAGACTTATTAACTTATGTCATTACTTGATATCCAGGTGCTCAACCACCATTTCCATAGTGCTTAGATGATCATTTCTCATACCTCCTAAGCATCAAAGATATTATAGTAGCCAGTGCAACCCTAGCTGTATTTCCAATAATAATATCGATCTTGCATCTCAGTTCAGCACTGGTGAAAGTTTTAAGTTCTAGCGGTCCAGCATGCCAGGAGCCATCCATATCCAGATTCTATTACCACTAGCAATGAAGTTTTTACTCCAGCCAGCAGGTAAGTAATCCATTTCCAAAATTCTATTTTAGAGTCTGTTTCCTTAAAACTGTCTCAGACTGGGTTTCTTAGAAACGGACTCTGAGATAGAGAACTGCATGTAGAAGGTTTGTTAGGGAATCCTCTTGAGAGATATACCCATGAGGGAGTGAGAAAGATAGGACCGGCCAGAGGGACAGGTGGACCAATGATGCAGTTGCATTTGAGGACTCCGTCTATTTTATAGGGAACTCCGGAGATGGGGTGGCTCTTCAGAATTATAAGGGGGCCAGGTTTTTGTATCCCCACGTTAGCCAAAGGCTGCACTGCAGGCCACCCCTGGGAGGATATCTTTACTGTGAGATAGTTTCTGAGAGTAAGTCCCAGTGAGAAATGCAGCTTTGAGCCATTAGCTGCTGATGGTTCCAGCAGTTGGGGGATGATTGCGTTGACCCTAAAGAGGGGAACTGGTTGAAGGACCTCAGTATCTATTATACTGTTCAAAATAACTTATCTTTGGCCAATGGGAGCTCTTCATGTAGGCTCATGTCTTTTGACATGACCCACTGGTTTTGCATAACTTTCTTGCTTTCTGGTAAAATACATTCCAGGCTCATCTAATATATTACCTGAACTACAACTGGAATGAGCCATTTCTCCAAGGAGTTTTTTTAAGTGAGAAATGGTATTTAGAGACCACAAAATGAATGTCAGGATTCCTTACTAATTCTAGACCTTTCAGTGAACAGAACTAAAACACAAATTTTTAGGAAAAAAACTCAAGTTCATATTAATACTACCATTTCAAATTTAACATAGGATTTTTACTTAATTTCCTTGATTTTACACTTTTATCCCTTTTTCCTTACATTGAAAATCTTAGTTCATAACAACATTAAATATTTGTATTTCTCTATCCTAGTCTATTCTCTCTCTATATATAAAATTTCAAAAGGGTAATACTAACATTATAGTCTCTCTAGAATAGATTCCAATGTATTCTAGAGTCACTTGGATTTTGTCAAAGCAGTTTGCTTGATCTTTATTCTTTTTTTAAAAAAAGATTTTATTTATTTATTTCAGAGAGAGAGAGTGAGAAGGCAAGAGAGGGCACAAGTGGGGAGAGGGGCAGAGGATGAGGGAGTAGCAGACTCCTTACTGAGCAGGAGCCCGATGTGGAGCTCGATCCCAGGACCGTGGGATCATGACCTGGGTCAAAGGCAGACACTTAACCAACTGAGCTACCCAGGTGCTCCTGCTTGATCTTTGTTCTATTCAACTTGTTTATTACTTGTAGCAGGATATATTCTTGCCAAATTTACAGATAACAGCCAAAACGATAAGAGAATTTATTGAATGACAGAATTGGGTCACACATAATCCTGATTCCTTATAGTGATGGTCTAAATTTAACACAATGAAATATGACAGGTATAACTGTAATATGCAGTTGTTTTATACCCCATTTAATCCACAAAGCATTAGAAAAGACAATAAAATGATAAATATAAACTTATTATTTATTAATAAGAAAGGCTACCACTTTTTGAGGACTTACTGTATGCCAGGCACTTTGCTAAATACTTCATATAATTTTATAATTTTTAAAAAAGATTTTATTTATTTATTTGACAGAGAGAGATAGTGAGAGCAGGAACACAAGCAGGGGGAGTGGGAGAGGGAGAAGCAGACTCTCTGCTGAGCAGGGAGCCCGACACGGGGCTGGATCCCAGGACCCTGGAATCATGACCTGAGCCGAAGGCAGACGCTTAATGACTGAGCCACGCAGGCACCCTAATTTTATAATTTAATCTGGACAAGAACCTCATAAGACAATAGTAGTAGTAGTAATATCTATCATTTACAGAGCATTTACGGAGTATTTGGTGCTGTTCTAGGCATTTTATACTTAATTCTCATAACCCTACAAAGCCTTCCAGTTCTGGAAGTCTGATTCCAAGGCTATAGGCACACGTTTTACCCCCTTTTTTACAGATGAGATTTTGAAGATGAGAGAGACTGAGAAACTTCCCTAAATGTCTGGTAGACGAAGGACTAGGACTCAATCCCATGACACTTGATTTTAAGCTGATTTCTTAATCAGCTTCCAGCCACAACAGCTAGACAGGCTCTGGACAAGGTGCATTTGTGCATTATTGATTGTAATCTTGTTAACAACCCTGGGGGGTCACTCTTGTCCCTCCCATTTCACAGGTCAGAAACTGAAAGTTCAGGAGGTAAGCAGGTTGCTCCAGGCTACACAGACAGTGCATCGTAAAGTTGCAATTCACACCCAGGTCTGTCTAACTCCGAAGCCCATATTCTTAAACCTCAAGCTGTCCAGGAAGGGAAAGATGTAAAAAACCAATAGCATTAGTGAAAAAGACTCCTTGCAAGTTCAACGCGAGGCAGTGGTGGGATGCCATGCCAACAAGGTGAATGCCACCTAGGCTGCGTTCTAGAAATACGGTATCTGCAGCAAGGGAGGGGACAGTCCCACTCTCATCGGCAATGGCAGAGCATTCCCCGGGGCACTGTGTGTCCTGGGCTCCGCACTTTAAACAAGCATTACTGACATACCTGAAACTCCTCCACAGGTGAGCGCCGAGCATGGTGAAGCATCTGGAGTAAGGTGTCTATAGGAAGGACTGTTAAAAGTTGAGGTTAGCGCTCCAAAAGAGAAGGCTCAGGAGAGGCTGAAGAACTGGCATTTGAAGTGTCTTCATGCGGTCGAGCGTCAGCTACAGTCTATAGTTCCAGAGAAGTAAGGCTTCCATTAGGAGGAATTGGCACCTCCAAGGGAAGAAGCACCGCTTGGTATTTGGAGCTTTTTAGAGATGAAATGGGCTTCCTTTTAAGAGAACGAATTCTTTTTCACTGATGAAGAACTTGAATGACCCCTTACTGTGGGTTTAAAGACTTATATGTCAGGTGCCGTGGTTCTTAAATTTTAGTGGGTATAAGAATCATCTGGAAGTACTTGTGATCTACTGATTCTCAGGCTTCACCTTTAGAAGCATCTGCATTTTTAACAAGCAGCGCAGTGGGGCCGAACGAGGTGGTCAGTGACCCACACTTTGAGAACCAATGAGATTAGATAAACTCCAAGATCTTTTCCACTTATTTTGCAAATAAACATTCTAGCAAAAAATGTGTGTTGTCAACATAACGATTGTTCAAAGAAAGTTGTCTTAAGTTTTATACACGACCCAAGACAAAATTCTTTAATATGTTGACAGTTACAATTAGAGACAAAATTACTGGAATGTAGGATATTAGGATATGGAAGGAGAAGGCTTGATTCTCAATCTATGTCATAAGAGACAAGACTTTAATAGCAAAATAGAAGAGACAAATCCAGGTGGAAAATCTTTTTTCAGATGTTCAGATTTTAAAGAACTCACTCTGCGTATACCAGGGAGGAATCTAATGGGGACCTGGAAGAAGCTATTTAATTACCCTAACGGACTGCCCCTGTGTAAGGTTAAACACCTGTCAGGCTCTGGGACCCAGGTTTATATAAACTTCAGCCTAAAACTAACAGAACAGGTGTAGGGGAGAGTGTCTTCTAACGCTGGCCCGCTTTTTGTTGGGCTAAAGCACTTTTCCTGGCAAGTATCATGTATGTTTGATTAACTTTAACTTTTACTTAAAGCATGTGACCTGAGAGCCACATTTTAGAACTACTATATCCTGAAATGTTTTGCTCTCTGTAAACATGTTTTTAAAAAGCATTGCTTGGGTATAATTTACTGTCTTGTATCAGGGCTTTTTTTTTCATTAAAAGATTTTGTTTATTTAACAGAGAGAGAGAGCACAAGTAGGTGGAGCAACAGACAGAGGGAGAGGGAGAAGTAGGCTTCCCGCTGAGCAGGGAGCCTGATGCGGGGCTCGATCCCGGGACCCTGGGATCATGATCTGAACCCAAGGCAGACGCTTAACAGACTGAGCCACCCAGGCCCCCCTCCCCTTTTTTGACTTAAGTTGCATAGTGGTGTTTCATTTGTTGCTTAAGTGTACTGAAGTTTTGAAAAGCGGGTCTTTTTTTTTCTTTGAAGATATTAAAAACTGACTAGTTGAGGAATTGGTGCTCCTGGCTGTTTTGTTAATTGATAGTATCGATGCACTTATTTCGTTCATGAAGGACTAGCAAACGATTTCTACTTTAAACGTAAGGTCTATAAAACTTCCCAGTGGCAATTACATGTTGATAACCAGTGTGACCCTGTTTCTATTTAATTTATTCTCGCTTCCTTTTAATGGTTGCAGACCTCCTCCTTTCTCTTGAATCATGAGGGATGAAATTGCAACAGCAGTTTTCTTTGTCACAAGACTGGTGAAAAAACATGACAAATTGAGTAAACAGCAAGTAAAAGACTTTGCAGAAAAGCTGATGACGATCTTGTTTGAAACCTACAGAAGTCACTGGCACTCTGACTTCCCTTCCAAAGGGCAAGCCTTCAGGTGAGAGGCGGTGTGTAGGGCGGCAAAGGGAAGGAAGTCACAAGCGAGTGATCGCCATTGGCAAGGATTCTGTCGGCAGAGTCTGAGTAACATAAGTTTTATGGGCTCAAATTGATTTGAACGTGGGCTTGAAAGAAAGAGATTCAGCAGGCGGCAGTGCGTAGTTGAAACCTATGTAGCTTAAATTATAGTTGAAGACTTAGAGGGCAAACTCCCTTATGTGAGGTGGATTAAGCAGAGAACATTCGTCACACTAATTGTGTGGCTTAGTGATGCAACTCACATTCTGAGTAGCTGTGTAAAAAGTCGATGGTTCTACCCATAGAACGTGGAGGGCGGGGACGGGGCAGGGGTCGCGGGTGAGGGGGGAGCTGTGTGTATTGGAGCCGTTTGCCCATCACATGATTCTTCTAAGGCGCCTGTCACCCCATCTTTGTTTCCCTTTCCTTGCTTTTTAAAGGTGTATCAGGATAAATAATATTCAGAATAAAGATCCCATTCTAGAAAGGGCTTGTGCTGAAAGTAAAGTGGATTTTTCTCACCTGGGACTTCCAAAGGAGATGACCCTATGGGTAGATCCCTTTGAAGTGTGCTGTAGGTGAGTAATCTCACGGGAGGGGGTGTGCCTGTGACCCCCGGAAACCTTGGTTACATAGTCAGTTCTGTACACCTTTGTGAGAGATGATGCGCCACAGCCCTGCGTTAGTGGTTAGCAGGCCGAGGGCCCTGGCCGGTTAAGGTTTCGGATGCAAACTTGATTCGCACAAACTTCCATTAGGAGCGGATGGCCTGGAAGCACAAAGACTTTACATAGTATTTGAAATCTGACTTTAATCCCTGCACTTCATTGCCAACCGTAGATAACAACGTCTAAGGATTATAGGCAGTATCAAAGGGCAGAGAAGTTGCAATGCAGTCCTTTAGCTGAACTGAAAGAAACTAGTTCTTGTCTTTTTCTGAAAAATTCACAGAGAGCGCTTACAGAATAACCCCCATTAATTACCACCCTGTGGTAGCTGAAGGTCACAGTGTCTCTTAACTTGCTTTGCCGTCAAACCATTTCCATTTGTTGTTTAAAATAACTTTTTGCAGATTAGTGAGTGGTCTGTAGAAAAGAGTAGAGATAAAAACAACTTGTGAAATTTTGAATCCCTAACGAATACTTTATTTTCTTTTCCCACTTAGGTATGGTGAGAAAAATCACCCATTTACAATCGCTTCTTTTAAAGGCAGGTGGGAGCAACGGGAGCTTTCCCAACGGATCAGCTGTGCTGTTAACAGAGCCACTTTAGACCACTCCTCTGGCGTTTCCTCCGATGAAGAAAGTTGTAACAAAGAACCTCAGATCATTCCTAAAGTGAGCAATCCAAAGAGTATTTACCAGGTGAAGTGTGTTCCAGTTCTTCTCTATGCTTCCCCCCCATTCTAATTCTAAAAAGAATTTATTCACTGTAAAAGTGGAAAACAGAAAAAACTGTAAAGATTAAAATCACAATAACAATTTGGAAAAGTTTTTTCTTCTATATGTAGTTTTTCTACTTGGCTGAGTGCTCAGGAGCTACAGTCTTCTGTAATACTGTTTTTCTGTGTAGTATTTGAACACAAGTTTCCTTTCATCCAAATTCCTTCCTGATTAAATATTAAAATTAGTGGGCTTTCTTGCCAGCAGAAAATAACATACCATTTGTAGAAAATCTGGAATACTAAGAAATGATCAAAGGTCTGTAATCCCACCACAAGAAGAGTTTTTCTAAAAATAATGAAATATATTTTAGCCACAACTCCTAGAAAGATATGTATATTTATGTGTTGGAAATAAGTTTCATGAAACAATACTCATCCTTACTTGGCATAATGCCCTCCATATTTTCTATTAAATTAAATTGATTTCAACCACCTAAATGGATTTCATGACCCAGAAATAGTGGCAACCCTCAATGTGAAAAACACTGATCTAGACAGACTCTCTATTGATACTGTTATGTATATACTTGTTTGTATGTTTTTTGAAATTAATCCTTTATGCATGTTAAGACAATTTAAATACTTAACATTTTAATACTTACTTTTTCCCTTGTAATTTATTTAATCTATTACTGGCAATCATCTAGATTTTCACATTGTTGTGATATAAAAAAAGCTGATAACTTGTAGAGATGACTGAATTTTAAGTTAGTTCTGGAGACTTGATCCTCAGCCTTGGAATTACTGGGTGATAGGATATGGCCAAAGTACCATCTAGGGAGGTTTTATTTATTTGTACTCTAACCAGCTCCATGTGAAAGTGTCTGTTTTATCATTTTTGCTAAAATTGGTTATTCTCATTTAAAAATAATTTGCTAAAGATGCTGTTATAGACTATTAATTTAAGCATTAAAGAAACCCAACTCTCCACATGCCCAAATGTTTTGGGTACTTACTGTCTTATGAATTTTTTCTTTACCCATTTACCATTTGAGGTCTTAATATATTATTAGTACAGGTTCTTCAAAGGTTAGAAATATTTTAACCCCTTTTCATATTACTGGCAAATATTTATTCTGGTAGTTAAACTAAACTCTACAGTTTATTATATAGTTCTCCATGTATAAAAGTTTAAAACCATGTAATGACATATATACCTTTAATTCTATTCTTAGGCTTAGAAAGATTTTCTTCCATCTAGGGATCAGATCTACAGTCAGCCATACACTTGTAGAACAATATCTTTTCAGAGTGTGGTCTGCAAAACATCTGTATTGGTCATTTGGGATGTTGAAAATGGATATTTCTAGACCTCAGCCCTAGAGGTTACGATTAGACAGTTTTGGGTTAAGCCAGTGAGGGGAGGGGTGGGTAGAAGAGAACCCAAGAATATACACAAATTTGAAGATGTGTTTTTAAGTATTTTAGTTGGATTAAAGATTTAATTTTGTTAAAAGGTATGACATGACTTTATTACCACCGCCCCCCCCATGCTAGACAATTTTCCAAGGATCATCATCTGCTTTGATTTCTATTCATTTGTACTCTCTATGCTTTTTAAAGGCTTAGCTTCTGAGTTATGGGTTTGTGTTTAGTATTTCGGTCTAGCTTATTACTTTAGAGATGATCTTCACACCTTCTTTTTTATTTTTTTTTCCAGGTTGAAAACTTGAAACAGCCCTTTCAATCTTGGTTCCATGTCTCCCGCAAAAAGAACATGGCAGATGGCCGCATGGGCCTCCTAGGGAACACTTATCATGCACTGCATAAAAATCCCAAGGGTCCGAGGCCTGCTGCTGTCCCCCGGGTGGACAGGTACCACTGGGTCAACATGAACCGATAATGCAGTGGCTGGGCACTCGGTGGGATGGAGCTCAGAGGAGCTGCTTCATTTTCTTTAAAACAAAAGGGAGTTTAAGGTTGAGAGGCTCATGAAACAGAAAAAGTAATCCCATCAGGGACTAGGGTGGCATAATGGTGAATCCTCTCACACAGATCATGACTATGTTCTTAGCTGTACTTTTTAACTCTTACTTAATTTTATGTGAAGTTTTATGTAACACTAATGAATGTATTCAGTAAGGTAATAGAATGAAGATATTGACCTGTGATAAGATTCAATGAATTATGAAAAGTAACAGTTTAAATAAACGTACTATGTTTTTAATACCTTTTCTAGTTCAGTGTTTTGCAAGAAAGCTTCGAAAGTTTGTGTTTCTTCATTAGCCATTAAGGCAGGTAGACCTTCACCTGGGGAAGTGTGATCCCCATGATACAGTCTCCTGGCCGCACTTTGTTACCCATCATTGCTGCTCTATTTCACAAGGCCGCTAGGAGTTTGTTTTAAAATTACTCTTTAAGATACAAAATTCCCTTGTTTGTGTGTCTTTTAAAAATTTTGATCTATTTCTAAAGCTCTTAATAGACTTAATTATGACTTATTTTATAAGTGACACCTGTCCATTATAAGGATTCAAGCTAATGGAATTAAAATTAAAAACTTAAAAAAAAAATTAAGCTAAGCAAAAAAATGTACCACCAAGAAAAAAAATCCCTACCATCCATCCAGAAACTATCATTATTAACATTAAATGGTGACCATTTTTACAGTCATGCTATATATGTATACAGATGTAAGAACTGATACACAATTTAATAAGAAAAACCATATGATAGGAGCTAAACAAGTAACTAAAATTAAAAATTAAATTCAAGTATCTTAGCAAAACAAAGATACCTAAGGTGAAATATTCATAAATTTTTCTACCGCAAAGTATTTTATTCCCTGAAAGATTTCCCTGGAGTTAAACACTAGGAATCTGGAAACTTATCTTTAAAACTTTGTTTTTCAATTTTATACAGTAGTATTTGTCGCTATGCAAGCTGCAGAAATAAGCATTCTTAATTTTTTCCCCCAAGGACCAGTTAAGTGAGTATTAAAATCTTAGGTCATGCTTTCTTTCTCTTACAATTTCATAGACCTCACATGAAACTGTCTTTGGCACGATACTGTGGAGAAATTGGAGACCAGTTTGATTTCCCCAAATCCCCGCCACTCACACCAACATGAGTTTTACTTTCTTAGGTGATTTCCTTTGCCTGCCAGTCTGAAAACCTTTTCTTTATACTGGAAGTCTTTGTTCATGTGTCAGTCATTCTACCAGTTTCCTCCAAAATATTGTGTTCCTTTCTGATCTGCAGATTTTATTTTTCTAGAGCAATCTACAGTATTTTAATACTTTATCTGTCCATCCATTTTAGGGATACCAACTCTCCAGATGCTGGATCATTTCTTTGTTTCTGTCATAACTATTTATCTGATTGCTTTAGTATCTTTCATTTTTTTAAACCATGATTATCTTAAGTCTTCTGCCAGTTTTATTCTCAGTCCTGTTTAGTCTTCGTTTCTTACCTGTTTCTTAGTGCCATAATGATGCTATTTTGGATTTCAATGAGCAACTCTCTGTAGGAGTTATTCCCATGTATAGTGTGACTAGAAAGTGAAAACTGTATAAAATAGTTACTATATGTAAAAACAACATAATACTTAGATGTGATAGAAGAATGGGTTTCTAAGAACCTTTGCACAGAGGATTTTATTAACACTTGTCTCTTGAAGTGTGTGAGGTTTTGTTTTTTTTTTTTTTTAAACCAAAAACAAAACTACTTCCAGCCAACAGAGAGGATAAATCTGTGGCATGTGTATTACCATTTCTGTGATCCATGCCATGATGGACCTCGCTAATGAGTCACCATATTCTTATTTGGATGCACGGATGACATCAAAATTCTGTGCACACAGTACCAGATATAACAATTAAAACGAATTGTTCCAAGTGGGGACTCAAAAAGAAATCAATTCCACCACGATTGATGACTGGCCCAGAGGGAGCCATCCATGAGCTTTAGAGCCCTGTGTAATTTTTTAAAGCTTCCCATATGGCCCTGAGACAAGGGTATAGGGGAAAATTTAATGAACTATATATTTCTTGCTTTGATTAAAAGTGATCAATACAGTCGAAAAACCCCCAAATAAATGAATACTGTGTCTATTAGAATATAAGTATAATAACCAAATTAGATCTTCCTAATCTGGATTTTGAAATTTTCTATGAGTATGTACCACTTTTTTTCTTCTTTAAAAAATTAAACTTTTTGAGAGAGCTATTGATTCACATGCTTTTAAAAGGTAGACCCTGTGTACCCTTTACCTAGTTTTCACCAGTGGTAACATTTTGCAAAACGATACTATAATATTACAAAGAGATACTGACACGATGCAGTTGGGATACAGAACATTTCCATCGTCCCCTTTTATGGCCACACCCACTTCCTCCCGCTCCCAGCCCTTCCTCAACCCCCTGACAACCACTAAATTCTTATCCCCCATTTCTGTAATTTTGCCGTCTCCAGAATGTCATAAATGGAATCCTACTATAGGCTACCTTTTGGGATTGGCTTTTTTTTCCACTAAAGCCTAGTTCTCCAGAGATTCATCCAGATTGTTGCACGAAGCTGTATTTTGTTCCTTATACGGCTGAGTAGTCTTCCATGGAACAGATATACCACAATTTGTTTAACCATTTGTATGTTGAAGAATGACAACTGGGTTGTTTCTAGTTTGAGGGATGATGAATAAAACTGCTATAAACATTCATATATACACAATGTGTGAGCATAAATTTTTATTTCTCTGGGATAAATGCCTAAGAGAGTAATTGCTGGGTCGTATGGTAGTTGCGTGTTTAGTTTTTTAAGAAACTGCCAGACCGTATTACAGAGTGCTGTACCATTTCATATTGCCACAAGCAATGCATGAGTGATCTCCTTTCCCCGTGTTTGTGCCAGACTTTGGGGTTCTGGATTTATCCTTTTTTTCTTTCAGGACTAGAAAAATGTAGTGCCTCTTCTCCTAGTTTCTATGGCTTCTAATGAGAAATCTGCTGTGATTCACATTTTTAACTCTATAGCTGTCTTTTTTTTTTTTTTTTTTCTGGCTGCTTTCAAGATTTTTTTCTTTGCTTTTAGTTTTTGGAAGCTTTTTTTTTTTTTTTTTTCTGGCTGCTTTCAAGATTTTTTTCTTTGCTTTTAGTTTTTGGAAGTTTAATTATGATGTGTCTTGGTGTGGATTTTTTTTTTAATTTATTTATCCTGCTTGGGATTCATTCAGCTCCTTGAATCTGTAGATATGCTTCTTTCCAAATTTGGGGAGTTTTCAGCCATTCTTTCTTTGAGTACTTGTATAGCCTGCCCTCTTTGTCTTCTCCTCCTGAGAGTCTGATGACTTGAATGCTAGGTCATTTGTTACAGTGTCCCAGGTCCCTGCGGCTCTACACATTCATTTCTTCTGTCTTTTCCCCACTCTGCTGTTCAGATTTGGTAATTTCTATCATTCTGTCTAAAAATCCACTGACTTTCCCCATCTCTGTCCCTTCTATTTTACTGTTGAGCCCATTGAGTGAACTTTTTATTTTGGCTTTTATATTTTTCGGTTCTAAAATGTTCATTGGATTTTTTTTGTCTTCTCTTTCTTCTTCTGTGACTTTATGGTTTTTTTTTTCTTGAGATTTCCCATTTTTTCATTTATCTCAAGCATGTCCATAATTGTTGAAGCATTTTTGTGATGGCTTCTTTAAATTTTTTCCTATAACTCTAATATCTTTGTCATCTCGGTGTTGGCACCTGTTTATTGCCTTTTTTCACGCAGTTTTTTTAAATCTTTCTGGTTCTTACTATGATAAATGATTTTTGCCTGAAACCTGTACATTTTGTGATATTATAAGACTTGGGATCCTATTTAAACTTTGTTTTAGCTGATTTCCTTTGACACCATTCCACTGGTGGTGGGAGAGGGGAGCGGGGGTGGAGGGGTGGGGTGGTGCTGCCTTGTTTCCTGCCTGGCGGTAGCTAAAAGTCCAGGTTCCCCACTTGCTCTCCACCGCTACCTAAGGAAGGGGTTGCTCGTACCTGCTGGGCAGGTATGGGAGTTCAAGCTCCTCATGTGGCTTGCAGGAACACTTTGCTGAGGGTGGCCTCATTGCCGACGGGCAGTGGGAGAAGTCCTGACTCTCCACGTGGCCTTTGCTGATACCACTCGAGCGGGGAGGTGGTAGGGAGGGGACTCTACTACCATATGTTGGTAGATGTCCGGATTCCCCACGTGGTCTGCCCTGACACTGAAGAGGAGGAGGATTTGTAACTGCCTTGCAGGGATGAAAAGATGAAGATTCCTAGCTCTCTGCATGGTCTTCTCTGACGACATCCCAGGAGGAGGTTGGGATGCCTAATTATATAGCCTGGCAAGGTGGAAGTTTAGACTTCTCACTCAACTTTTTCTGATGTGGGTGGAGCCAGGGTTGTTGTTGTTTTTCTTCCTGTGATGCTTGGCTGGAGTAAAGCAGTTACTGTTTAAAGGTTTTCTGTCTTGCTATGCTGTCCCACCCCACTTTTTAAGATTTATTTATTTGAGAGAGAGAGTTGGGGGGGGGAGGGGCAGAGGGAGAGAATCTCAAGCAGATGCCCCGCTGAGTGCAGAGCCCTATGCAGGGCTCAGTCTCAACGACCCTGTGATCATGACCTGAGCTGAAATCAAGAGCTGGTTGCTTAACTGACTGAGCCACCCAGGTGCCACTAAGCTGCCCTTTTCTCAGTCCTTTTGCTAGAGAGCGTGCTTTAGGGGAGCTTTTTGGTTCTGTGCCCATTGGTGTTTATGGATTGCTGGTTTTTTCATTTCCAAGTCTAGAATACATGAGGGAATAAGAGAATATCTGGAATTACCACCACTTCCTGCCTTGGGTATTGAGGTCCTTGGCTTGTCTATTCTCTTCTCTACTTTCAGAATCT